ATATACATAATTTTCGCTCTGATAGATTATTTTAGAACATTTTTATATATCGAGTAGGGTAAATGAAATGTCAATATTGCCTACTGAATTATTTTTTTTGCAAAAATTATACGTTTTTTGTTTTGAGAATTTTACATAATATTCTGAGAATTTGTAAATACTACCGCCTGAGAGTAGAGATACTTATTCCGGATTGAGTATTGAAACAATACTAAGAATGACAACAAACAAGAAGAAATTACTGTTTACAAACAGATACATTTTTTTCTGTTATCAATTTGTTTGCATTTTTATAATTTGCATTTAATCAAATCTTTCTCTTGGGTTTTTTTTTCAACAACACAAATACGTGTATATATGGTGTATAGTCTTATATACCATATATATGTACATATTGACAAACATCTCTACCACAGAATAAATATGGAAATTAATGAATAATTCAAATTATATTTAAAACAATAAGAAGTGCAATTTACATGAACAGATGATTTATACAAAAAATCTCTAAGTTGTTTGTAAATTATAAATATATGTATATATGTATTTTATAATAAATATGTGTAAATATTGTGTATAATTTTAAATTTATTTATATATTAATTAAACTTAAAACAAAAATAAATTTAATTTACGTTATACCCACTAACTTATATTAAGTTTGTTTATATTATTATTTTCTGCTTAGTATTTTTAGAATCACGAGACCAATTAAATAATTTACATTTAATTTAATTTTAAATAAAAAAATATCACTTTTAATAAACAATTTATAAATAAGCCAATTTTCGTTGCCAATATAACCTAAGCATAAATTTTTTATTATTTTGTTTTTGGTTTCTTAAATTAAATTGTAATACTACGATGTAACGATATAATCATTCGTTTGTATGCCTTTCAATCTATCAACTTAAATCAGTACGAAATTCTAAATGTGACACTTTAAACTGCATAAAGCCACATATATCAATATGTATACGCCTGAATTAACATCTGGAGACATCAGGCAGAGTTCGCCCACGACACTTATTAACCCAACCAGGCCAAGCCTGAAAGCCGTAACGATTGAAGATCTGCATGGCGCAACGCGAGTCATCAGAAATTTCATCGTTCAAAAAATCTAAAATTAAAGATTTTCAATAAAAAAAGTTAAACAAAATAATAATTAATTATGCACAAATTTTAATAGTCTATTGTAAATTTAATATATTCATATTGGAATCGTAGAACGTAATGCTTTTCTTGTTTACTTTCTATGATACACACCTTCGCATTTTATATTGCAGACGCCTCCTTTCCGTCCTTTGCGACACCAATTTTTGCTGTTGATCTATTAATTCAATTTGATTTGTATTTAATTATATATATGTATATGTGATGTATATTTAAATTTATAAATCACTTATATTTACCTGAAAAAGTCCATAGCTTACACTTTGATTCGGTAATTGTAAGACTTTAGATGTACTCCTACCGCTCTCAGTTTCAACTAAGCAGACCCCTGAAAAAATAAATTTTCATTATGATTAGCAGAGTTTAAAAAAAATATATATTTTGCATAATAAAATATTAATATATTATAATTAGCTGTTATTATACATTATATATCTGTTTGTAAGGGAAATGTATTGAAGTCATTGCTTTGACAGAAGCTAAAAAATAATAAAGAACATATAATTTTATTATAATTATACATATTATATTTATTTTAATCATTATCAATTATTTTTATTTATTAAATTTTTTCCAAATGTATAATCGATTAGCTTCACTCCATTAGATAAAAATTGAGTACAACGCCAAATCGATTTACGCGCGGAACTAATAAAAAACAATTTAGTGGAGTAGTCCGCAGTATAACCAATAAAATAACAACTTTCTGGAAAGAATCAACTTTAGTCTCCTTCAAGAGTAACACCACCATCATTCCAGCGCTTTTCTAACATTTCGTTACTTCTCTTGTTGATTGATTATGGCCTTTAAATATGCCTTAGTTTTGGCCCAGAGTTTATTGTCGGAGCCAAATCTCTTTCTTTAGAGCATTTTTTTTGAAGCCTGCGAAGAGATAGTAATAGCTGAGATAGCCAACGATTTGTGACTGGTACATTGTCTTGGTTAAAGAGGACTTTTTCAAGTTCATATAGAGCTGTTGCTTCGCGATTTACTCCTTTGTTATGAAAATATCCTCAATGAGTAATTGTATAAAGTTATGAAATTTGGAAATGCATCATTTGAAAGTTGGAATTTTTAAAATTTATATAGATTTTTCATTAGTGGCACTGCCGTTTCGTTGTAGTACGGACTAATCACACAATGTGTTAAATCTAAAATGTACTTTTCAAACTAAATAAATAACCAGACTGATCTAAGTGTTATAAAATTTTATCAACACATGTATAACGGACCTACTTCCCCACCTACCTGACAAGACATTAATCGTAACACTATCCAAACTAAACCGGATTATAATAAGCTAAAGTATTTCTTTTTTTTCAAGTTCTTACTAAAAATATAGCCTTTTCATTTATAATACCTCTGAACGCATCTGACTCTACCATATAATCAGTAATAGATGTTTATTAATTATTAGTCATTAAATGGTCACAATACAAATACCTATTTTATAAAAACCCTCTTCATTTGTAGATTCCACCTTATAATTAATATAGGATTCTAAGTTTCCTTTAAAGCCTCACAAATATCTTGAAAATTCCATCTTAACAATAATGTAATATTAATTTAAATTTTTTAAGATATTAAGATAATACTATGTCAAAAAATCAAGAAAACGATAATCAGTTAATAGAACACAAAATATGTATTCACTTCCGAGAAAATGCACTTACACTAATGAATAACCCAATTAGCAAAACTTTTTTAAACGCATTTTTTTAAGATCGACTTCAGTACTCGCCTCAAATTCTCTTTTATATTATATATCGACTAAAAACAGGTATCTCGAAGTGGGACTTT